CACAAGTGCCCCTAGGGTGGGGACTTGGGCAGCCCTGACCCCAGCTGGTATCCTCTCCTTAGGGGGTGATTCCCCAGGGTTTCATTTTGCAGGGATCAGCCTAGCCCCCTCCAAGAAGCACAGGGAAAACCCAACTATCAGTTCCCTGTTCTGCATCTGCTGGAGAAAACTAGGATTCGGAAGAAGGTTTGGTTAAAGATTTGTTATCGTAGTCAGAGCATGAGATCATCGAGACTGAGGCTAAGAAAGGAGAGGATGCAAAGAAAAAGGGAAAGGAAAGAAATGTTCGTGGTGGGATTATGGGTGATTTTTTTCTTCTTTGGTAAACTTTTCTAAACTCTTTGTTTTTCATCATGCGCAGATACTACTTTGTCGATCGAGACGGAGGGGGATTCACATGGACCGAACTCCCCGTCACTCCCAAATAAGCAGCAGACTGATTGCCCAGCATCATCCCAACTCACCCTGTCCCTGTCCCTGCCACTCAGTCCAGTGTCCCCACAGTGGGGAAGGAACGCAGACCTGTTCAACCCCCACTCTGCAGGTCACAGAGGGCTGAACTTCCTGCCCTGAGGTCCCCCAAAGGTTGAGGTGCCAGGAGGCTGAGCAAAGAGCTTTCTCTTCAGGACTGGCCAAGGAAGTTTCTAGAAATTGGGACAGTCCATGCCCCCAGACCTCCACCAGATTCAACCACATCCCAAGAGAGAGGCCTCAAAATGTCACTTGCAGGGACACAAACCTGGGTAACCTGCCCCAGCCACACTTCTCTTTCTCTTCACAGGAGTCACGGGGCCAGCCGGCTCACGGATACCTGTCCCTCTCACTGCCAGGACTCTCTTCTCCCAAAAGACACAAGACTCAGAGTTTCCCCAGGGGCCCCTGTAGACCTCAGACTGGCATCAGAGTACTGACCCCTGCCTGCCCTCTCTCCTGGGCAGGACGGGCCCCCCTCCAGCTCCCACAGACAGAACCCTGCTTCAGCCTCCTCAGAGAAGAGTCAATTCTGATTTCTCTCACTCAGCAACGCAAGATCTCATCTCTAACAGACAGGAAGTCCTTCCTCCTGTCTAGCCTCCATTTCTTCGCTAAGAGCATCAGTCCCAACTGCTCTTGTGTCCCCAGAAGTGACGGAAAACTGCAAACCTGGCAGCCCCTTTGGAGCATCAGCCGGGGCTGAGATCATTCTCTTTCCTCCTCTGTCCCATCAAGTGCCTTCAGCCTTGTCTCCTCCAGGATCAATAATCCCCATGCCCAGGGTCCTCTCTCAAGGGATCCAGAAGCCCGGTGCCGATGACATCAGAGCCCAGGCTGTACCCACACAGATGGAGGCTCCATTTCCCAGGCCCATCCTGATGTCAGGTGCCAGGAACCAGGTAGGTCTGAGAGGACAGTGACGCCAGCGCCTCTCTCAGGGCGCAAGGCTCTGGCTGACCCCACCACCATCACCAGAAAGGCCCTCCTGGCGCCCCAGTCTCTCAGCCCCAGAGCAGCCTGGCAGCACTGACTGGTACAATCCGGCAGGACAGTGGCCCAGTCCTAAATCTGACTCTCATTTCTGTCTACTCTCCAGGGACCAGCCCCACCCGCCCCCATCTTGGCACAGATCCAGCCCCCAGCAAAGCAGGAAGCCCCACTTCCTCTACAGGGACAAAACCCAGGACAGCCCAGGGTCTGGCCCAGCACAAGCCGGAGGCGGCAATTTTGACCCCTGCCTCTTCTCTCCCCCACCAGCCTCCTCCATACATGGCCACTGCCCTGGCCTTGGGGAGATAGCACCCCCCCACACACACCGCTGCACCAGGAACTAACACCCAAGCCAGGGAGGTTTCGGAGGGCTGGAGGCTAGGACATGAGTCACCCCTTCCTGACCAACCTGCCCCCACCTTCACCACCCACGCATACCTTCCTGGGTCATTCAGAATTCTCTTCTCCAAAACTCCCAAGCGTAGGCTCTCAAAGAGTGGACGCAGATTCATTCCTGGGGTTTTGTGGGGCGATACAGCAGGATGGGCTCTGGGCTTGGAACCAGAGGACCCAAAGCCTAGTCTTGACCCTGTTGGGTCTCGCTGTGCAACCTTGGGCAAGTTAACTTCCCTGAGTTTCAATTTCCTCATCTGATGAATGGGGTAATGATACCTGCCTCTAGGGATAGTCAAGAAGTGAGGACAGTTGGGGCGCCTGGGTGGCTTAGTCGGTTAAGCGTCCGACTTTCGCTTAGGTCATGATCTCGCGGTTCGTGGGTTCGAGCCCCGCGTCGGGCTCTGTGCTGACTGCCAGCTCAGAGCCTGGAGCCTGTTTCAGAGTCTGTGTCTCCCTCTCTCTCTCTGACCCTCCCCTGCTCACGCTGTCTCTCTCTCTCTCTCCAAGAAATAAATAAAAATATTTAAAAAAAAAAAAGAAGAAAAAGTGAGGACAGTTGATGAAAGTTCTTGGTATCTATAAATTCCTCCCTCACTCTTTCAGTCACCATTCATCAAGTACTTAGTGGATCGTAGGTATTATTCCCATTCTGCAGAGGTCACTGAGGCTCAGAGAGATGAAGTGACTTGACCAAGACCACACAGGTAATGAGTGACAGAGCTGGGATTCAAACCCAGCTCAGTGCACGCCCAAATCACTGTGCTCAGAATCGCCTTACTGTGACACCTTCCCCACTGAACAGCCCTTCCATGGACAATCACCCCATCTCATTCTCAGGTGGATCCTCTCCCCACCCCCTCATGAGTACCTCCCCGGGGAGGGAATCCTTCCTCCACACAGTCTCGAAGCCCAAAGAGAGGTTCCAGAGGGCTGGAGTGGGGGCAGGGCTGGGACTGGGTAGAGGGCTCCTGTCACCCAAGCTAGGGCTTGACCTAGCAAGAAATGACTAATAGGGTCCCACCTTCTGCCCCCTCCACCTCCCGTCCAGTGCATCGCCAGTTTCCACCAGGCACCCCTAACAATACTTCCTCAGTTACATCTTTTCATCACAGCCACAAACCAGATTAGCTAAACTAATCATTTAACCGATGTAATTACAATGCCTGCCCCTCCTCCACTTTGGCCCACAGAAGAGGGAAAACAGGTCTTTTTGCCCAAATTCCATCTCCCTGTGGCTCCCCAGAAGTACACAACCCACTGGAGCAGAAGAATAGGGTTCCCTCAGCCTCCCCCTAACCCAGGGCATTCTACGGGGGCTGCTTTGACCCCTCCCCACTGCCCCAGCTACAAACACCGAAGAGGTGGTAGGTCTTTCCACCCGAGTTAGGCCAAGCAGCCCTGATTTCCCCCAATACTCCCTTCACCCCAGGACCAAGGGAAAGCCTGGCTTTTTATATTTCCCCTCTGTTCCCCATGAGGCTGCCGTCCAAATCCCTACAAAAAGACCATACTTTATTAGATTTTTAAAAACCAGTGCTGAAAGCCTGGTGATCTCCAACTCTGCCCAGGGAAGGGGTTCTCAGGAAGCCGGGGCGAGGGCGGGTGCTCATGTTGCTCTCCTGACCCCCTCCCTGGCAAGCCTTCCTCCTGTCCCACTTTTTCCCCACGCAGCTCTCTCAGGAAGGGGTGATTGGGGAACTGACTGCAAAAGCCTCCAGAAGGAATGCACCTTCAAAATCCAGAAACCAAATGGAAACCAAACCCCAAGCTCCACACTCTTCTGCCTCAAAAACCAGCCAGCTATATAACGCGCGGGGGGATGGGGAAAAAAGGCCAGAACAATCGCTGCCCCCACCCTCGTCAATTTGGCCCTGCCCTGCCCCACCCCCATTCCTGGGGAGGGGGGCAAAGCTGGGGAAAAAGCCACCGACGCAGGCCTCAAGCGAGGGGGTGTGGTGGTCCCCGGAGGCAGGAAGAGAAGGAAGAAGCTGCTTCCCCTTTGGCCCACCCCCCCCACTCCTGCCCTCTCGGGCCCCAGGGGCCCAGCAAACAGGATGGATGTGGGGGCAGGGAAGACAGGGTCAGAGCTCAGGCACCGGCTCCGGTTCAGCTTGGTCAGCTGGGGGAGGGGGCCTTGCCCCGAGACGGCCCCCCTAACCCTGGGGGAAAGCCCTTGAGCGAGGAGGCAGGAAAACCCGCAGAGAAAGCTGCCGTGAATACTTCCTCCTGGAAAGTTTGTTTGGGGTGATTTTTCCGACAATAAGAGGTTAGAGAAGACGAGTAGTCCCGGTCCCCTATGGACACCCTGGAAGCAGCAGCTACTGGAAACTGGGCCAGTGAATTTTCTAGCCATGCACGACCCCTGCGCCCAGACCCCAGTCAGAGCCACGGGTGCCAGACACCAGCTGGGTGCGGAGCCGGGCCCCGCGCCAGTCCCGCTGTCATCCCATCCCACCTCCGCCGGCGCAGCCCTAGCACGCCACCCACCCGGGCGAAGGGAGGCGCCGCAGGTACAGTACCGACGAGGCCCGGGAGCTGGAGGGCAGGGCCTCTGGACTCCGTGTGCTCACCTGCTCCGCAGGTGGGGCCCGCGAAGCTGGGAAAATGTGAGCTCAGCCCCCACAGTTGGGCAAGCCGGGCGCAGACAATAGGGCCCCACCCAGGCCTGGGGGAGTAGAGAGGGAGGGAAAGCGAGGATGACGCGTGAGGTGCGGTGAGAGTGGCCCCAAAGACACCAGCGGCAGCAAGTTTCCCGAACTGTACATTCCTGACTACAGAGTGAGCCTCGGGACGCGGACGAGCAGGGCAAAGTCTCCCTCGCCAGAGTCGGGGCGAGAGTCGGGGACGCGGCGTCGGGCGAGCTCCAAGGGCCCCAGGTCAGGCGCGACCCCACAGCCACCTGCGCTCATCCCTCCCCGCCCTTCTCAGATCTCCAGCTCACGCAGCCCCCAGCGCAATTGGCCCGAACCTCGCGCCCCCTAAGTGGCCGCGCCCAAGGACCCCAGCGCGCCCCCTGCCGCCGGTGCAGGGTGGCGTTCCCCGGCTCGCGCCCTCACCTGCCCCGTGACGGCGGGGATCGGCCTCTCGGCCGCTTGCCGCCCTTCCCTCGCCCCAGCGATCCCTGCCCCGATCGTCCGCACCTGCGTGTGGAGCCTGGCCGGGCTGGGTAGGGGTCGGGCCGGGCTGGGAGCCGGCGCGGGCAGCGTACTGAGCTCGGCGCGCTCGGGCGGCGGCTGCTCCGGACTCTGGCCAAGGCAGCAACTCAGTAACCGAACAAAAGGCGAAGGGACCTGACAGCCAAGCCACGCCTCTCGCCCCCTCGAAGCTCCGCCCCTAGGGGAAACGCCCACCCGCTGATGAGGGTTCACTGGCTGCCTCTCCCGACTGTCCCGTCGAGGGGCGGAGCCTCGCGCCGAGTCCCCTTCCACCGCCGCCTCTGTTTATCCGCTGGCCATTGGCCCCAGGGACTGCTAGTCGGCTCTGGGGACGGCCTCCAACTTGAGGTTCCATCCTCACTCCGCACCTATTGGCAGACAGAAGGTTACTTCCTCCTGATTGGATAAGGAATTGTCAGTAAGACTGAGGAAAGAGCCAATGGGAAGGATGGGGTGTGTCTTGCCCCACCCTAGCTCTGAGCAGGTGAGACTCATTACTCTCCCCCTCCCCCTACCTGTCCAACAGGTGAGTCAGGAGGCGCCATGGGAAAGGACAGACGCCTTCACAGGCCAACTCAGCGTCAGGCATGATGCTTCTTTGGGCTTATTCACCCTTGCCACAGAGTGGTAATAACATATTTGTATAGCGTTTCATAGGCTTTTTTTCTGGGTAGAGATTTTTTCCCCCAAATATGGAGTGCTCATGAGATTTAGCATTAGAAGGCCTGGGTTTCAGTTCTGCCACTTAGCAGCTATATGATTGCAGTCAAGTTACTTAATCTTTCATCCTGTTTCTCCTCATCTGTAAAATGGGTACATTAGCTGGATCTCTCTCATGGTGGGGGGAATAAAATTAAAGTTTGCAAAATCACTTGGACGACTGCTAAATGTTAGAATTTAAGGATATGGGGGGGTGGGGTTAGTTTATTTTTGAGAGGGAGAGAGAGAGAAAACCAGCCGGGAAGGGGCAGAGAGAGACGCGGGGACAGAGGATCTGAAGCGGACTCTTCGCTGACAGCAGGGAGCTGGATGCGGGGCTCAAACTCAGGAACCGTGAGACCATTTCCCGAGCCAAAGTCTGAGCCGAAGTCGGAAGATTAACTGACTGACCCCTAATGATATGGGGTTTTAATTTTTTTAAGCCTGTTTATTTATTTTTAGAGAAAGAGTGAGCAGGAGGAAGGCAGAGAGAGAGGGAGAGAGAATACCAAGCAGGCTTCACCCTGACAGCAAGGAGCCTGACTCGGGGCTCCAACCCATGAGCCATGAGATCATGACCTGAGCCGAAACCAAGAGTTGGTCGCCTAACTGACTGAGTCACCCAGGTCCCCCTATATGGGTGTTTTTTAATTCTCATGACAATTCTGAAAAAAATAAATTAGGACGACAAAAATGAACCTCATCTCAAAGTTGAGGAAAGTGAGGTTCAGAGAAGTCAGAAAACAAGAAAGTGGCCAAGAACTCCATTCTTCTAATTTCAAGACCCACCAAATACACGTTCTCCTGGCAGAATAATAGCATAGACATAAAATGTGAAAGCAGCAGGGAGGGTTGGGGGGAAAGGCAGAAACGAATATTCTGGGCAGAGCCAGAGAGCAATGATTTGGGTCAAAGAGAAAGTATTGGTGAATTTGGAAAAAATCAGGCAGTAGATCTAAAGCAAATCAACACTGGCATAACAATACGGCCCCCTCAGTGGTAGGAGACTGTGGGTTAGGTATCAGAAAGGATGTCCCAGTAGCAAGTTAGGAAGATGAGGGTCTTTCCTTTCTGTGGTTAGATGAATGCCCTCTAGGGGGTGGACAGCATGCTGAGTGCACCAGAGGCATTCACTCATCAACACTTAAATCCTGAGTACCAACTATATGCCAGGCATCGAGTTAGACCCTGGTAACACAGAAAACCAAAATGATCCGAACCCTCAAAGGGCTCCCAGAGGGCTAAGTGTAAACAGGTCACCTTAGCCACTCTGAGTGTGTGGGAATTGGGCGTGGGTGGGGGGGGGGGGGAGGCGGGCTGTTCGGGAAAAGGTCCTCCTTCAGACAAGTTGTATAGTCCCAAAGTTAGCACCCAGGGTGGGCTGGGTCAAGGCACCCCACTTGACCACTTTCCCACCACAGAAAGGGATGACGTCCAAAACAGTCTCACTTCTGAAGCTGTACCATCCGAGAAGCCTTCCTGGAGGAGGCCAGGCAGACGTGAACATCCTTAACCAGGTACCATCCCACATGCCAGGGCCACTCCCCTTTCCTTAGTTTCCTTGACCCTCCCTCCTCTTGCTTTTCTATGTGTCTTCCTCCCTACCTTACCCCTGCCCCCCCCCCACCTGCTCTCCCCTTCCCCTGCTCCAGCCAGGCAGTAGTGGCCAGCCCTCAGCCTGGGATAGAGCTCCCAACCCTAGGGCTTCACTTCCTTCCTCTCCCACCTCTCCACATCCCCTGCCCACCTCCCCACAGCCACCCCTGCACGCAGACACACACACACACACACACACACACACACACACACACACTCCCCAGACCCAAGCCTGGCTTAACTCCTTTCTTCCCCCCTCAGCATATAGGCTGGGAGGACTGGTTGACTACAGAGGGGTGGAACAGAGGGGCACAAATAGGGCTTCAAAATAAAGCTGCTCTGTGTGTGTGTGTGTGTGTGTGTGTGTGTGTGTGTCTCCCTAGAATATTCCCTACGTGTCAGCCTAGAACATGCTGCAACACGCTGGCCCCAAAGCTAAGCACTCAGGCTGGGACCGGGTGGAGGCACCACCCACAGCAGCAGGGAAGACTGGAATAAGAGCTGTGTCTCCTCCCAGATCAAGGGATTTTCTGCACATTTATTAAGCACCTACTATGTGCCCACCAGGCACTGAGGATTCATCTGTAGGATACAGAAAAGAATTAGAAAATGATGTTTGTTCCAATGAGCTGTATGTGTAGGGGATTTGATCTCAAGGGGCGAGGAGGAGCCAAGGGACAGGGATGAGAATCACTGTGGCCACAGTCTCGTCAGTAGCTTGAACTTGAAGGGAAGGCCACAAGAACATCTTACCCAGTCCTCTGCCTCCAAGCCTTTAAAGGCAGGAATTTCTCCAACAAACCTCCAGGAAGGGAGATTCTCCAGCCTCCCTTACATGATATACATGAATACCCTAGTCTCCTTATTCTAAGCTCCTTCTTATGGCTAGCTTCACTTTGTATTCCTGAATTGTTTTTTAATTTTTTAATGCTTATTTATTTTTGAGAGAGAGAGAGAGCTCTCGTGCACGCCAGCACAAGTGGGGGAGGGTCAGAGAGGGAGGTAGACACAGAATCCGAAGCAGGCTCCAGGCTCTGAGCTGTTAGCACAGAGCCCACTGCAGGGATCGAACCCACAGACCTCGAGATCATGACCTGAGCCTAAGTTGGACACTTAACCGCTTAACTGACTGAGCCACCCAGGCTCCTCGACGTATTCCTGAATCTTAAAATTATTTTTCTTGCCCAGAGTTCAATGGTAGCAGAGTTCTTGAGATGCTAAGAAACAGAAATGGTTCATTCAACCTTGCAGCTCCGTGGGTTCTTCAAGTAAAGAAGGAAAGGGCACCAAAGTGGCTCATCCCAAGTTGCCCCAGAGATAGAAGTCACTGGCAAAGAAGGGTCTGATGAGGGTCCAGTATTGGGGTAGGGGAACTGGTGAGGGGCAGGGGGCAGGGAGGTGCTTCCCTGGGGGAAGGTAAAGGATAACAGCCAGGACACCTTCCTCAGCTCATGCTCCACAGGCCTCCAGGCCATAGAACGAAGTGGAAGGGATGCTGTTGTCTTCTCGGCCTCTGTGGGAGCCCCTTCCCCACATGGCGGCAGGCAGGGACTTACATTTGCACATACCATCTTCTGTACTCACACCTCAGAGATATGCATTGACGGCATAGATTCAGACCCACAAACACCAGGCATGTCAGTGCTCTCTTCTCAGCGCGCGTGCGTGTACACACACACACACACACACACACACACACACACACACACGCCATGCGCACGCGCGCACATACCCTTCTCCCCGCCTCTTCTGCCTACGGTGGTCTCAGGGATGGCCACCTCCATAAATGAGGATGGGGTGAACAGATGGGTGGCTAAGCTTTGGGCTAATGATGTTGCCTTTCAACAGCAGGAAAGAAGCTGCTGGAAGTTATTCCTAGTGGGGCAGACTGGAATCAAAGGGAATGTAAAGAGCTAGCGGCATTTTGAGCACGGGCCTTCTCTCAGCCCTAGGGCAGAGCCATCCCTGGATGTGGGGAAGGGGCCTCTGCCTCTGCTCTCGTCCTCCCGAGGTGGGGGCGCACCCCTCCACACAGGAACTTGGGGAATGATCCTACACGGCATTCATCCCTCTCCCCTCTGAGACCACACTCTGGACCAGAAACTGGAATTCCCTACCCACAGCTGACCCTGCTTTGGGAGCCTGTAGTTCTCTCATTCTGGCTCCTTCTCTTTTTTTTTGTTTTTTTTTGTTAAATGTTTTATTTATTTCTGAGAGAGAGAGAGAGAGACAGCGTGAGCAGGGGAGGGTCTGAGAGAGAGGGAGATACAGAATCCAAAGACAGGCTCCAGTCTCTGAGCTAGTTGTCAGCACAGAGCCCGACGTGGGGCTCGACCCCACGAACTGTGAGATCATGACCTAAGCCGAAGTCAGACGCTTAACCAACTGAGCCACCCAGGCGCCCCTCTGGCTCCTTCTGACAGTGGACAGCTGGAGCATGCGTGTTATGTGCACACTTAGGCAAAGGGGTGACAAGGGGTAGTTATAGGGGAAGGACGGACACAACCCAGGCATGCAGCTGGGGTATCAACACACATGTGCTGGAAGTTCGTGGCAGCGTGCTGGATGTGGGGAGCCAGAGCTGCAAATGGAAGGGCAGGTGGTCCAGGAGCTGGGGCCAGGGAACATTCTCTCCAGGCTGCTGTGTTCTGAGAAGGAGTTGAAACTCTCAATTCCATTCCGGCCTTTCAGATCCCCCTTGCAGATCGTTGTGGGGCTATACTTGTCAAGGTACATCTTACTTAACAGTGTGTTAGCTTGGTTTGTCATTAATTGAGATCTCTGTACGTGAGCCTCCATTTGCCCTGCGGCCCCCTGCCTGCTGCCGC